AAAGAAAGAAAGAAAAAGAAAGAAAGAAAAGAAAAAAGAAAACACACCAGTTCAATAGGTATGGTATCTTGGGGGGACAAGTGGACAGTCTCTCCTCTCTCCCTAGCACTGTCCCCATGACTACTCTGTAACCTCCCTCAGGGACAATTGCCATGCTTCTTTTTATTCCCTTGTAGGAGTGTCAGTGCCTGCACAAGCAGACAGGGACGCCGACATTCTGACGGGACAGCAGCATGCCCGGAGCTCCGCGTTGCCCTTACTGTCCTCTCTCAACAAGATGCGCTGTGTCTGTGATTGTCTCACGCAGCACCTGTAAAATATGCTCCTCGCCCTTCTTCCCAGCTTCATCTTTGTCCAGTGTATGAATTTCCCAAGTTTCCCAGCTGGAGAGAGTCACTTAAAAAAAACTAAAATAAGAGCTCACTTCCCACACCGGGATCCTCTGAGATATTATTTGTTCATTCAGCAAATATTGAACCATATTTCTGAGTACTGAGATGTCAAACAAGCCATGAATCACTGCCTTCCTGGGCCCAGGGTTTCTCGGAAGTGAGGGTGCTTAGTCAGATACCTGTTCCTTGAGCAGGAGTCAACTAGTGAGGAAGAAGAGGGGTGCTGAGAGGGGCCCGAACATCCTCCAGGCTAGTTAGACTTCTAGACTTTTAAAGAGAGCAGAGCAAGGGAGTAAACTGAGGGATGGGGCCTTCCTAAGAACCCTGTCAGCCTCCCTAGGCCCCCGGGGAGATAGCTTCTTGTCTCTGTCCCATGCCACACGCAATCAATAAATGCTGTTTGGGGTGAATGTTGCACACACGGCAATGGTACTCAGCAAGTGTGTCATTTGTTTGAAAAACGGGGACCTTCTACGGGCTTGTCCCTGAGTGAGTAAAAGTCAATCAATGAACAAATAGGTGGCCTCCCGCCTGAGTTGGCACCAGCCTGGCTCCCATCCCCAGCACTATACTTGAAACACACACACACACACACACACACACACACACACACACAGTGTTCACTATTTTTTCTCATCCGTCAAATGAGCACCCCTCGGGGAAGGCCATGGCCCAGGGTTCTTGGCCGACCCCTGCTGAGCTCAGGGCCAGCTGGGGGCAGGATCTGAACTGGCAATCTCATTTTTGAAAGGAATCGTCCTGGTGGGCTCCCAGCCTATGCTCCAGGCTGGTCTAGGACCACTGTTCCCAAATGGGAGGGCCAGGGTAAGAGCAAGATTCGCTCTTCCCACCAGGGGCCTGGCTTCAGGGTGGCCCAGGTGAGGCTGAAATCTCAGCCTTTTCAGAACTCAGCCCCTGAGCCCTGGTGCCACCAGCTTTCAGCTCCTGGGGAATGAATGGCGAGGGGTGTGTCCATGTCTGATAAATCCCTGGCCAAGGGACAGTAGCATGGAAAGCTCCCCAGTGGGAGCTAGAATTCTGAGGTCTAGTATTGTGTTGGTTAAAATCAAAACTTTCCCTGAGGGTGGGTCTGGCCTGGAATCTTGGCAGGACAGCCAGGATTGAGTCTTTGGACTTAGTTTTCAAACTTGAAAGGTGGAACTGAAGTGTCCCCTTGAAAGAAAAGGATAATGGGTAGTCCCTGGCACCAAAAGCAATCCATTGGGGCTGGTGAGATGGCTCAGTGGTCTAAAGCACCTATTTAGAACAAGCTTACCAAAGCACAGGGACCACGGTTCGATCCCCCAGCACCACATGTCAGCCAGCCCCGCCCCCTGGTGGGCTGAGCTGGCCACACACACACACACACAATAAATAAATAAACTTAAAAAAAAAAGCAATCCATAATAGTATGCCTATGGCCAAATTCTCTGGAGAATCTGTATAATGGCCTTAGTTTCCTAGCCTGGGAAATGGGCACACATTCCTGCCCTCTAAGACTGGCTAGTGGGGCCAGCTTGGAGGGTGGATTCGCTCTTCCAAGTCAGTTGCTCCAGCCCACAGTGAGGCTGGTATTCGCTGGAAGGGGCATTGGGAAGGGCATGGGGACTTACCATGTACTCCATGTTAGCAGCAGGTGGGTGCACGCTGGCCCGAATCTGGTTGTGATAATCCAATAAGGCCGTGATGTCCAACGCAGAGAGGTGGCGCTTCCTGCGAGACCGGGGCACCCCTAGGCCACTCAAAGGCCGCACAGCTATGCCCTCCAGCTGGGCCAGGGTCACAGTGGCATTGGGTATCATCGAGGCATCCACCATCTGGCCTGCCCAGAGGATCAGACCTGCCAGGCCCACGGTGCTGGGCAGCAGGAGCATAGCTAGCTGGGGTCACAGTCTGCCCAGTGGAGTCAGAGCCGGTTGCCTAGAAGGGGCAAATGTGAGCATACCAGTCCCTGAGTGCCCTGCTCTGGCAGCACCAACCCAGAGGATGTTCCCTGGGAACTTGGCAAAGCTCCTGACGCAGCTATACCAGGACCCTTCCTTCCCACCCAGCAGATTCAGTGGGTTGGGCCATGAGAAGAAACACACGGGCGGTGGCTAATCCAGCCAGGCCCTGGGGTGCGATGCTGCCACACTTCAAAGCCAGGGCCCCATCCCACCACCAGGAGGACAGCGGGTCTGTCCAGAAGGACATCTTCTTCCTCTTCAGCCTGCGCATGATGGGCACAGTGCACACCCACAGCACACTGCGGGCCCTCTGGGCCCTGAGGGCTGTGGCTTCAGGATGGAGAGTGAGATGCAGAACTGGGTGGTTGAGGGTGAGGGGAGCAAGGAAGAGGACAAGCGAAAACGGAGAAAGGAAACAAGAGTAACCCACAGGTTGGCAGAAAAGAGATACGGAGAGAACAAATGACAGAAATAGGAAGAGGGAAGAATGAATGATGCGGGGAAATATAAAGATAACACAGGACGGGAGAGACAGAGAGTCAGAGAAGGAGAACGAACAGAGCAGAGAAGGAGAAGGAATAAAGGCAGAGGGGGGCGTGGGCAAGGCCGGCAGCAGGCTCCCCAAGGGTGCAGACCCAGGACAGGCACCACTGTCAGGGGCAGGAGGAAGGGGACCTTTGCAACACCTTGGCTGCCTGGCTGGGCAGTGACTTTAACAGCCTGCTCCCTGGTGGCATCTGAGGTCTCCAGCCCCACGGCCCCTCCCCTTCCAGAACAGCACTCGGAGGGACACTCCGCCTGCTGGCTGATGGGCTTTGCTTTTCTCTCTCCCTCCTTCATCCCTGCTATTCTGGCTGCCACTTGTGTGCACAGCTGGGGCTCAGCTGCTGGTTAGGGCAGGAATCCCCAGAAGGAAGACTCACCCCACAGGGAGACCCAGATCTGGAGATTTCTCCTTGTCTTCCAGGCCCTGCTATGTTAAGGCCAGCTGGCATCAGGAGAGTATCTTCTTTTGTCTTTTTTTTTTTTTTTTGAGACAAGTTCTCACCCAGTAGCTCAGGTTGTCCTTGAACTCACAGTCCTCCTGCCTCAACCTCCTGACTGCTGGGATTACAGGTGTGCACCACGATACCCAGCTAGGAAGAGTACTCTGACTGCTGTCCCTTCCAAGTGCTCTGGCCTCAGAGGAAGCAATCAAAAGGCCCCAGCTAAGAGCACCTACTGTGCGCCGGGTCTAGGGCTGAGAGCTATGCACACACAAGCCCAGCCGATCCTTAGAGCAGGTATTGGAACCCCTCATTTTATGGACAAAGCAATGGAGCTCCAGAGAGGTGAAAGAACCAGCCCAGAGTCCATGGTGTCCAGGGTCTTGTTTGCTAGTATGGAAACAGTGCCACTCTCACAGTCAAACCAAATATAGACAAGACACACAGCCAGTGTGGTGGTGCACACCTGTAATCCCAGCACTCGGGAGGCTGAGGCAGGAGGATTGTTGCAAGTTTGAGGCAGAATGGAGTACAGATGAGTTCAAGGCCTTCCTGGACAACATAGTGAAACCCTGTCTCAAAAAACAAATATAGACTCACGGGGAGATTCTAGGGTATTCATTCCAGTGTTACTTAAGCATAGCACCTCAAGCTATAGTTCATGAAGCCTGTGGATCTGCATTCAAATCCTGCTTATTCTACTTTCTGACTGTGGACTCTGGAGCAATGGCTAATGCAAAATGGAAGAAATAATGGTATCAACCTCCTTCCGTTGCTGTGAGATTGAGTAGCACTGATGGGGTTATGAGCAGTGACTGGCACAAGTCTGTCCTCTGTGTGTGTCCCTAGGTGATTGTATCTATACTTGTACATGTGATGTGTTATATATGTGTGTCCAAGTATATGTATGAAAACACAGGTGTCTGTATATATGTGTGTGTGTGTGTGCGTGTGTGTGTGTGTGTGTGCGTGTGTGTGTGTGTGTGTGTGTGCATGTGTGACTAAAACCCCACTGGCCTCAGAGTTGCTGAAGTTACAAGTTTAGAGAGATTGTACCCCCCTGCCTTGTGGTCTGGGGATGGAGTCCAGGGCCTCCCACATGCAGAGCGCTCTGCCCCTGAGCTCCCCCGAAGGTCCTCTCCTCTTCAATTGCTTGCATTCGCCGCAGATAATAAATATTCCTTTTTATAATAAGAAAGGCACAATTGCAAGCAAAGCATTGTGTAAAAAGCATGGAGGCCTTTGCTGTCTTCATCCTCCTCTTCCAGGGGCTTCTGAGCATCCCCAGGCGGCACACAAGCAAGGCAGGGCTGTGGGTGCCAGGTTGCTTTAGCAGGTCCTTCCAATACACATGGAATTCCTACCCCAGACAGCTGCCCAGCCTCTGCCTCTGGGCCAGACAGTGGGGCCAGCCAAGGCACACACTTTCCCCTACAGCAGTGTCCCCAGCCTGCCTGCCCCGTGCAAGGTGCAGATGGGGAGGGGTGCAGGTCAGCCCTCAACATCTGCAAGGCTTCCCCACCAGCCAGGAAGACAAGAGAGACCAGCCAGGCACACCTCATGTCCTCCTCCAGGGCTCTGGGGGTCCTAGGTGGATCCCGTGCCATCCCTGGATGTCCCAGTGGATAAAATGACCAAAACTCTTCTGACCATACCTGACCATGCTCTGCAGCCACAGGAAGGCTGGCACAGATAGCCCTGGCACCTAGGGACCCAAGGGTGCCAAGTGCTGCCCACTTCTCACCTATCATGAACCTCTCCCATGCAACTTCGGAGCAGAGCACTGTCTCGGAACTTCACACCCAAAATTCACTTGTCCTCCCAGCTGCCCTGGAGGTTGGAAAGCTCTGTGGTATGGATGAAGACACTGAGGCCCTCCTGAGCCCTGGTAGTTTGTACTAACTGGGTCCCTGCACATAGGCAGATGCAATCATAGCTGCCGTACATGCGCCACCCCCCACGCTTAATGCAATACGGTAAAAAAAAAAAAAAATACAATGGAATGTTTAATTTAAAAAATGCTTAAATTTAAAAAATTTATTACAGTTGCCAAGCATGGTGGCACACACCTGTAATCCTGGAATTTGGGAGGCTGAGGCAGGAGGACTGCTGAGAGTTCCAGGCCAGCCTGGGTTATCTAGTGAGTTCAAGGTCAGCCAGGACTGCAGAGAGAGTCCCCATTAAAAAATATATTACAGTAAAAGACATATTGTCATTAATCCTCCTAATAATACTCCCCCTTGCTTCAAATACACTTATCCCATTGTTCTTGCCACTTTTTGAAACAGCCCCTGGATGTTCTTTTCTGTAAATATCTTTTTTTAAAAAATGTATTTAAGTACAGGATCTACAGGGTTTCACCATGTGGATCAGACTCGTAGTGGTTCTCCTGTTTTCATCCTCTCAAGCACTGGGGTTACAGGTGTGTGCCACCACACTTAGTCTCAATCGCCAACTCAGTGTGCCCGAGGGGGTGGGACCAATACAGCACACCAGGGATCGAACCCCAGGTGTTGCATTCTGCCTAAGCAGGCATTTAGTCCTCTGAGCTATCTGGCTAGCTCTCGGTGTGCATCTTTTGTTGTTCCATTCCGGTTCCCTCAGTGTCCTGGGTCAATTCAAAACATTTACGTTCCATGACCATTTTGACTTTTTATTTGTTTGGTTTTTGTTTTTTGAGGCAGGGTCTCACTCAGTACCTCAGGTTGACCTCAAACACACTGTGTCACCCTGGCCGGCCTTGAACTCACAGCGACCCTCTTGCCTTTCAGATTCCCGAGTGCTGGGATTATAGGTGTGCACCACCAGGCCCAGCAAGAGTCAGTACATTTTAAAGGCACTTGACACAATGCACAGAGCAAGCAGTCAGTAAACAATCCCAGCGAATGATAATAAGAACAGAAACAATAGCCAACATCTATGAGGCACGTAGGAGATGTCAGATTCTAAACCCTTTCCACACATGATCTCCTGTAGCTAGCCTCGTCCCAGTTCCACGCACTAGGTACTGGGATCCTCGTTCCACAGATGAGGGAGTGAAAGCTCAGGGAGGTGAGGTAATTTGCCAAGTTCACAGCGCTAAATCCAGTGGAAACTGGATTCCACCCCAGAGCTCTCTGACTTGTACCCAGTGTTCTTTTCCTTTGGTAAAGAAGAGACTGTTTCTGGGCATGGTGGCACACACTTGTGATCCCAACACTTGGGAGGCTGAGGCAGGGGGATCACTGCGAGTTTGAGGGCAGCCTGGGCTACATAGCAAGCCCTTGTTGCAAAAAGCAAAAACAGAGAGAGAGAGAGAGAGAGAGAGAGAGAGAGAGAGAGAGAGAGAGAGAGAGAGAGAGAGACTGTGAAGCAGGAACCTAGCACTTGAAAGAAGAGACTAAGCAAATTAGATTCTCAGAGAGATCACTTGGGTTGCCCCCTCACTTGCCAGGTGAGGAAAGTTGTCAGAGAGGTTAAACAATTTGTCTAAGATCGCACAGGAAGCAGCGGACTTGAGACCGCAACCCAGGTCTAAGTCACTCAGCATCCAAGCAGGAGGAAGAGGGGAGGCATCTAGAGAGGGGGACGAATGAGTAGATCATGTCATGGTGGAGAGGCTGCAAAATTTCAGATCAGATGACCTGCAAAAGATAAACGGTGAGTAAACAGAAGGGATGGGATGGAGGGGCAGCGTTAGAAACCAAGAAGCCCCAGGTTGTCACGTGGGTGAGAGCGCCCACGGCTGTCCGAGGAGGTGCGCTTGAGCCAGAAGCCTAGGAAGGAACTCCGGGACCTGCAGTAAAGACTGGGCTGCCGGGCGGGACTCTAGAGGGGCCCCCACCCCTTGCTCTGGCTCCTGGTTCCAAGTGGCTTACCTCATCATAACCCCACAGGGGCCACGTTTTGTTTTGTGCGACTTCCATATTTGCAGATAATTTCCCAGTAAAAGTCTTAAAATAC